TGGCATTTCCCCAGGATTTGTGAATAACCATTTCAAGACCAAACTAGTGCTGTTGTATAGATGGCTCTCTGATATCTACCAGGAATATGGAGGACAAAGCTGGGCTCTAGTTTATCGAAGATTCTAGTTAGTGGAATATTACAGGGATTACCCGGCTTGAAAGATTTGATCTCGGTGCTTCCAAGTATGGGGAAGGTAGAGTCTGGTGGTGCCCTGGGCTCATGGATCTGAAAGCTGGTCCCCATATGGGTGGTGCAGGGACCTGCTGCTGATGGAATTCTCCACCATAAACAATGGAGTCATTTTCATCTCTTCTTCTCAGTTTGCTCCTACATCACCTTGGGGTCAAAATTCATTCCTCAGAGCATGTAATTGAGGGCTTTGGGGATCTGGTCGACCTCATTACCCATCACTAGTCATGGGTCCACTGAGGCCAGGGTGGGCATGAATGTTGAGGGAGGGGGCAGGGAAAGAGAAGGTGCCTCACTCTTCCCTGCTTGTGACCCAACAGTCTATGGTGGAAGAGCCACCTATATCCAGAGGTCAGGTCTGAAAGGGTTCCATCGTCCCCACCAGCCCGTTATGCTGCTGGGACCCCCTCCCCATAGACCACCCTTGGCAGGAGACCAGAACAACAGCATTCACCCAAATCTCACCTGCTTGACCTGGATGGGGACGACCACGTGGGGCCGGCTGCTGCTGGCGTTCACATGGGTCGACGCCATGGTCCTCTCCACGTGTCTCACTCTCATTCCTTGTTCCATCAGCCTTTCGATTTGTGCATAGTCCTTACAAGGCCCCAACTTCAGACCTTCTATGTAAAATCCCAGCCGCCGATCCCCTCTCACTTTCAGTCCTCCAGGTTTTTTGGTTCTAGAGAGCAAATCTCTTACCTGTTGGAAAAAAGAATAAATAATGTCAACTCCAGGAAGGCAGGGATTTTTGTTGAAGTCACTACTCTCTCTCTGCCTACACCATATCAGGTGCTCAATAAATACTTATTAGTGGAATGAATAAATATTACATTTCTGTAGGTACCTTGTAATTTAGCCAAGGAAGAAACAGGGAAACGGGAAACAAAAAGATAGGGATACCTGTTGTAATTAGTGAACTCAGAAGCATATTTTTAAAAATTTTTTAAACTTTTTTTATTTTTTATTATTTTTATTTTTATTTATTTTATTTATTTCGTTTTTTTAAAGATGACTGGTAAGGGGATCTTAACCCTTGACTTGGTGTTGTCAGCACCAC